CGCTGCCGTGGCTCCAACCTTTCCGGCGTGTTGGCAATGCTGTGCCTTCCCTTGCCTGCGTTACTGGCCCCTTCCACACTGTCCCCTTCCCCTCCCCCCACCCCAGTCTCCAGGGGGTTTCTCTTCCACTAGCCTAAGGCGAGGGGCGAGTGTAGGGATTTAGTCTCACTGCAGACATGGAGACGCTCAGAACCAGGCTCATTCTCAAGCTTTTAGTGCAGCTTGGAAGAGCAAAGCCTCCCTCCGGCCGGCAAACGAGTCCTTGGCATGCTGGCCTCTCCCGAGGGGGTTGGGGATTTTCTCCAACTTCACGAAGTGTTTTTCTGCCGCAGGCCTCTGCTCCCCTGTCCTGCTGCCTGCCCGCCCCTCCGCCGCGTGCAGACTTTGCAATTAGAAAGAGAACCGCACTGGACAGCAACAGAAGACAGGCCTGTTGTGCAAGAAGCACCCTCGCAGGCCCCACGAGCCCGACTGTCCTGAACTAAGCTTGAGCCTTGATTGACACGGTCAGCCTCAGCTGCAGCCTGGCCCTTCAGGTGAGTATCAGAAACAGATCCGCTGCCACCAGCACATGTGCTGCAGTGTCGGCAAGTCGCCCTGCGTTGACAGGCGAGACTAGAGCAACGAGGCACGCCCGACTGCGCAAGCCAGACAGGTTCACAGCCGCCCGCCTGCTCAGGGCACCGCACGGCTGATGGAAAATGTGAGGCGGACAGACCCATTCGGAACTCTCCCGGCATTTTCCCACAGGCCGCTCAAGGGGAGGGTGCGGAGATGAGGGAGGGAGGCGCAAACTTCCTCCCTTCCCGGAGGAAGAGCAGTCTGGGAGCGCCCTTTCCGATCTCCTTGGCCCTTGCAGAATGCAGGAGGGTGAGGGGGGAGAAGGATCTTTGTGCACCCCTGCAATCTGCCCCTTGGTGCTAGCACCCTCGGTAGAGGTGGCACATGGCTTGGCGCAGAGGGCTCAGAGGAAGCTTGCGCAGGGAGTGGGGATGCTGGAGGCAGAATGGCGCGCTGCCGCGAGGACAGAAAGCCCACGGGTGCTGGCAGCCAGCCTGTGTGGGCGAGAAGAGCGACTCTTTCCTGGCAGCAGCATTTCTGCCGCACCACAGCTCCCTCGGCTGCTGACATTTCTGCATCTGCCAGGGCCTGGCTTTGCTACTTGCGCATTGGTTTCCCCCAGGCTTGTGCTGCGGATGCAACAGCAGCAGCAGTTCACGTTGACAGAGCACTCTTTGGTCCCAGGGTCCTTTCAGTCCCCATGCAAATGCAGCCACTTCTTGGGTGGAGCGAGGCACTGCGGAACCGGGCTACAGAGCATGTTAGGGCAGGAGGTGAAGAAGATGATACCAGGGCTGGCAGAGACCTCAGGAGTCATCGAGTCCAACCCCCTGCTCAAAGCAGGACCAACCCCAACTCAATCATCCCAGCCAGGGCTTTGTCAAGCCGGGCTGTAAGGCAGCAGGGCCCCACCGCCACAGCACCTCCTGCTGGTCACCCTGGGAATCCATTTTCAGCTCTGGAGCGCCCCCTTTTGGCCGGCGTCTCGCCCACTGGTACCTGTTTTCCTTGAATGCTGTTTAAGAGCCATGGCACGTCCCTCCCAGACCGAGTCATCCTCCCCTCTGGGTATTGCCCTTCCTAGAGGACACGCTGGGGTCCTTCCCTGCTGGGAACCCCCAAATCCCCTATGCCCACCTTGTCTCAGTGACCCCCTGCCAGTCAACATCTCACCCCTACCTCAGGGGCACACGGCCGTCTGACATGGCCTCTCAGCATTGGCCAGGGGTCGGGGACCTGCTGCCTTCTCTTGCCCTGGCTGCCTCCCTGCAGCCCTAGCACCCTGAGGCCTTGCTTCAGGCCCTGCAGCCTGGGAGTTTGCCTGGCCAGGCCTCCCCAGCTCTACCTGCCTTTCCCCAGCCCTGCTTGAAGTCAGGAAGCCAGGAAGCCTCCAGCTTCCCAGGCAGCCTGGTCCCTCCTGCTCCACAACCAGAACAAGAGTGAGTCTGAGGCTATGTCTACACTGGCGGGTTCTTGCACAAGGACGGCCGTTCTTCCGCAGAGCGTCCACACTGCCCGCCTGCTCCTGTGCAAGAAGACTTACAGTAAAGCGTGGGAAGAGAGGGCTTCTTGTGCAAGAGCTGCACTTTTTTCTAACAAGTGTAAGCTCTCTTGCACAAGAGGGCAGTGTGGACGCGTGGCAGGGGTTTCTTGCACAAGAGAGCGTCCACACTGCCATGGATGCTCTTGCGCAAAAGCACACGGTTGTGTGGACGTGCTCTTGTGCAAGAAGCCGCCAGTGTAGACATAGCCTGAGTGTCCTCCCTGCCAGAAGCCTGCGTTTATACTGCCCTCAGCTGGGCCCGAATTGGCTAATTCCTGCCTCGGCTGCTGGCTCCACTGCTCCAGCCTTCTCCTTGGCTGGTTTTAATCCCTTAAAGAGCCAGTGCAGGGCAGATGCCTCATCACACGGGGCCTTAAAAACCTCTGAGGTTGGAGACTCCACCCCCTCCCTAGGGAACCCATCCCAGCGCTTCCCCACCCTCCTAGGGAAATTGTTTTTCCTAATATCCAACCTCGACCTTCCCCACTGCAACTTGAGCCCATTGCGCCTTGTTCTGCCACCTGCCCCCACTGAGAACAGCCTCTCGCCAGCCTCTTTGGAACCCCCCCTCAGGGCGTTGCAGGCTGCTCTCCAATCCCCCCGCAGCGATGCAATGCCGGTTTCCCAAGGTCCCTTAATGGGGGAGCCGAAGGGTGGCTGATTCCAGGTAGCCTGAGGTGAGGAGTTCAGGTGTGTCGTTAATTATCAGGACAGTGCAGGCTGGGGCTCAGGTAGGCTGAGGATGCTCCTACCTTGTGATGTTCCCTGTGTAAACTGCCCGGAATAAAGCTCTTTGCCAGGCCCAGGGCTGTTTGGGGAATGCTGCCTCTGCCGCTCACCCTGCACCTGTGCCCTCAGGAAGGCTCCAAAGCGATGGGTACGGTGCAAGAGTCTGAACAGAACGCTGATTCTGCAGGAGGAGCCCCCTTGGGAATCCTTCCCCCCCACTCCCCTTAGAAACCCTTCCCCCCTCCCACTCTGCTCCCCCTGAGGAACCCTTCCCCCCACTCTGCTCCCCTTAGAAACCCTTCCCCCCTCCCACTCTGCTCCCCCTGAGGAACCCTTCCCCCCACTCTGCTCCCCTTAGAAACCCTTCCCCCCTCCCACTCTGCTCCCCCT